CAAAGATAAGCATTCATTTCGGTACAATGAGTTAATCTGCATTCTTTGGATACTAACAGTTGTGTGTTGTGAATTCGGTACTATGAGTTAATCTGCATTCTTTGGATACTAACAGTTGTGTGTTGTGAATTCGGTACTATGAGTTAATCTGCATTCTTTGGATACTAACAGTTGTGTGTTGTGAATTCGGTACTATGAGTTAATCTGCATTCTTTGGATACTAACAGTTGTGTGTTGTGAATTCGGTACTATGAGTTAATCTGCATTCTTTGGATACTAACAGTTGTGTGTTGTGAATTCGGTACTATGAGTTAATCTGCATTCTTTGGATACTAACAGTTGTGTGTTGTGAATTCGGTACTATGAGTTAATCTGCATTCTTTGGATACTAACAGTTGTGTGTTGTGAATTCGGTACTATGAGTTAATCTGCATTCTTTGGATACTAACAGTTGTGTGTTGTGAATTCGGTACTATGAGTTAATCTGCATTCTTTGGATACTAACAGTTGNTATGTAATCGATTTTAAAATTTCAATATCGCTTATTAGTACTCTCAACATCAAGAATACATTCATAGAAGCAGTTGCCATAGCCACATTTTAGTTCATCATTTTTTAAAAAAATATTTAGTGATATCGTATATAATACTATAATACATTATTAAATATATAGATTGGCTGCAAAAAAAATTTAAACTACTTTGCTTAAAGTCTCTAGATTTTCACTCTCTAGAAAATTGGTTGAATAATAAATTTTAGAAATTGCTATGTTTCAAATCTAATGTAAGACTTCACTGCTTTTAAACCATTTTAAGTGATAAAATTTAAAAAAAGAAAAATGTGTTTTAAATAAATTTCAGATTTAGCATCAAAATTTAATAATTTTTTTTACATACTTTAAATCAATAATTGAAAATCTTTCACGAATTCGTCAAAATCCTATATGATAATACATACTGCAATTAAATTAATAGTGGTTTATGACTACAAATTAAGTAAAAAACAAATTTTGCATTGTTTTATAAAGTTTGAAACTTAAAATATATGTTGATTTTTTTTCATAATATTGTAATTAAAAAATAATGTAAAAATCTGAAATCTAGAATTTTCTATTGTTTTCTCGCAACAAGAAAACTATTACAAAAATCTTTAAATTCGATTTTAAAGAAAGGCAAGTTCGGGTTTATTTCTAGATTGAGAGACTCGATCATTCAGGGTTCTGTAGCCGGAAAAAATTGAGAACCACTGCTCTAGACTAAAATCCAGTTTTCATATAAATTAGGTTTTTTTTTAAATTGTTTTTTGAATCATCATTCCTAATAAAAGGTTTAATGTTAGTTTACAGAAAAGTAACTAATTTAGTTTCGCTGTGTGAAAATATTGAATAAATGCTTATGCTTGGCGATTCTGGACATTGACATTTATAAACCGCGGAACTCAGCTCATACTAGCAAAATAAATTTAATCAGCAAAGATAAGCATTCATTTCGGTACTATGAGTTAATCTGCATTCTTTGGATATTAACAGTTGTGAATTCGGTACTATGAGTTAATCTGCATTCTTTGGATACTAACAGTTGTGAATTCGGTACTATGAGTTAATCTGTGCATTCTTTGGATACTAACAGTTGTGAATTCGGTACTATGAGTTAAACTGTGCATTCTTTGGATACTAACAGTTGTGTGTTGTGAATTCGGTACTATGAGTTAATTTGCATTCTTTGGATACTAACAGTTGTGTGTTGAGAATATCTTCCAAGCAAATTTTTTTAAAAATTAATTAGTTAATAATGTGTTGTATTAAATTATGAGAATTCGTATCTCCCCTTCTATGAGTTTTATTCGAATGCGGGAAAAGATATCAGAGTGTAGTCTCTTAAATCTCACCTTAAGTTTTCATTCATTAATTAGCAACGTGTTTTATTAAAATATTACATTCTTTGAATTTCGTCTGTTATATTTTCATAAAAATTCTGAAGTGAATGGCAGATGTTAGCTTTGTTGCAATTATTCTCTAAATTGATTCCGTATTTGCGGGGAGGAAAAGGTGACAAAACTAGGAGGAGAGTTTCCTCATTTTTATTCCCTTCAAATTGCTTTGGAACGTTATGGGAATGTAAGGGGGGGGGGTGGAATTGCCGAATGAATTGTTGATATTTTGGATATTGAGGAGAGGGAGCCCCATCGATTGTTCGACGTCACGTGACGTCGGAGGGTTTTCCCAGATCACGTGCTCTTCCTACAATCTGCTTCACAAATCCGTACCTATTCCAAAATCGTTTACATTTGGCGACACATCTCGCAAATAAATGATGTAGAAAATGTTTAAAATGCAATGCACAAAGGGATAAATATAAAAAAATGTTGACTATGAAAACGATGTGCTATGAATAAATGTTTAGAATCGAAGAAGTTGAACCAATATTTTATGTTTTCCAACTAAATTATTTTTTCTCCTTCTGTGCATCTTTTTTTATTTAAAAAAAGAACCGTTTTTTATAAATACCTGTTCTTAAAAAGTAATTGTTCTTGTTGTTTCTAATGCCACTTGCCAAATACCAGCAAGCCTGTTTGGGGAAAGCAAGTGAATTGTAAGACAGAGGGTGCGTTTCTTGTTTTGCAGTTGCACCATCTATGGTCAAGAATACGACTTCAGCCACACACTCGTCACAGCCTGTTTATAGGGCGGATCCATTCATACATCCACAGATCATAATTTTGACTTGAACCAGCGAATGATCGATCTCCAAATCAGTACCCCCAGGTGTATGATTTGTTATGGGAACATAGAGGATTTAGTGTTTTCGGCCGACTGGGATAGAACTCGTGACCTCTTGAACATGGGCCCAATGCCCTACCAACCAGGGTATCCGGACCCAAAAAAAATTTCTTTTTATTAATTTAAGTCTTAGCATTAAATGTTAAGGGGCTATATTTTCAAGGCTGCTCACGCTGCATTCATCATTATTTTTTTTTATATTTAAGAAAATCTGATTAATTTAGTTTATGATGTAAAAGGGTTAGATTTTGTAACCAAATAATTTTATTTTCTTCTTATTAACGATCGAAATAAATTTCTACCGAACGATCGAAACGATATTAACGATCGAAATGATAATTATAAAATAAAGTATTATTTTGTAATTATTATTGTTATTTAACGAACAGCCAAGCAGCCTTTTTTGAAACTCTTTGATCAAATTATATTCACCAGTTATTTTATAAGCACCGATCATTAAGTTAAAGGAAGAGCACATTCTAAATTAAAGAATATTTTTATGTGAGTTTGAAAAAATTAAATTTATATCATGTGAATAAAAATTAAATTTTTAATTAAATTGTTTAAGCCATTTCAAAACTTGCAATTGCCTAATTTATCAGAAAAGTTGATATATATGAATTATCACCTTTTATAATTGTAACATATGTAACATGAATTTGTACCATATATGAATTAACAATTTTTGCAATTGATAAAATAAAGGCACAAAGAGGATTTAAGTATCAATGGAAAGCTTAGAATCACAATAAATAACAAACAATTTAAATAGGATAGCTTATTTTGTTACATTTGCATTATTCTAACTCAACAATGATCACCATTTTAGAATAACCACTGATTCTATAAAATTATCATTATTTTTGAAATATGTGATTAAAAAAAAAGCTGCTTTGGAAGGGAATTTAGACAAAGTAGAGTCGAAAATAAATCTGACTCTCAAATGGAGGAAGAATTCAATAATTAAGATATAAATTCCTTCAAGTAATGGCTGGATGGCCAAAATCTGCATAACTCACATTTATTTATTATATAACTCACATTTACATTTTCTCTCAAATATATTATTTTTTAAGTATGCTTTTTCTAAAATGCTTGCCTTTTAAACATCATTTATTTAAAATGTTGTTACAATATTTATTAATATTTTAATAATATTTATTAATATTTCAATTATATTAATATTTAAATTATATTTATATATAATAATATAAAATTTATAATTCCAATAATATTTAAAACAATTATAAAAATATTTACAATAATAAATGGTAATGTGCTTATGTTTGACAACCTTAAATTACAGTTTTTAACACTTAATAGCAAACATTATAAATATAGCATAAAATTACACAGATGATATTATTATCAAGGAATTTAAAAGAACACAAATCATTTCTTCTTTCAAACTCTTTCAATAAATTGAGTCGCATTTTATCTAGTTCTTTTAATCAAAGTTTTAAACCATCTGATTAACAATTATTTTACGATATATATCGCTAAATGATAATTTTGTTGATTTCTTAAATTAAATGTTTGTCTACAAATACTCTAAGCCGAAGTATATAAGAGGAATGTTAAGTGAAAACTTACATTCTCATTAAGAAGTATGCTACAATAAACTTTTAAATTTTTATTTACTTTTGAGAAAACGATTTTAGATACTGTACTATCCGAAATCGTTTTCACTTAATCCATACCAACTCTAATCTTAAGGAGCAAAGAAGCATGAGAATCAAAGTATTAGTTTATAATATAATTCTTTATATGAAATAATTTTATTGCAATAACTTATAAGTTGTGTGTTAAATTTTTAGCCTTTTTTTTGTGAAAAATGTATTTGTCAGATTTGCTTATATTTTACAATTGCTGTGGAATTATTTTTGAACAAGCGATTTTAGAAACTTTACTATCCGAAATCGTTTTCTCTTAATCCATGCCATCTTAACGAACAAAACATGTGCTTCGAAATATTAGTTTACAATAAAATTCTTTATGGGAAACAATTTTATCGCAATAACTTCTAAGTTGTACTTTAAGCCTTTTTTTTGTTGAAAAAGTATATGTCAGATTTGCTTTACATTTTAACGTAAAAGACATTGGCCTGAAATCCTATTTTGATTAGAATTTGTTTCTTTGGCTAGTTATTTGGCGATACAGGCGTAGTGTATAAAAAGAAGCAACCCTATTACTCTGCTTGTGTTTCCGCTACTATATCTCAAATGCCAAGCGTCGCAGGGAAACCAACTTTACGCTAATAAGAGAAATCATCCCGCATCTTTTATTCAGTATAGTAATATACATTCAACAACTATTAAAAATAGTTTATTGATTTCTAATTCAAATGATTATGGGAATGTCATTAACAAATGAAATATTGATCATTGTGAATCGATCATAGCGAATAGCATTACTAGGTGTTCTCTTGATATATGGAGTGATATTCGAGAAGCATTCACACTGTAAGTTTCTCTTTTCATTACATTTTGTTGCGTTTATAAGGTACGGGAACATTTTTGAAACTGTTCTGTATTGAAAATACATTTTACGCAGATAAGAAAGCAATGTTGAGTAGTAAATTTGTATTGATCATGTAGCTTTATATGAAAATGAATTGCAAGAGTTTAAATCACAAAACGCTCGCTTAGTATGACTTATTAAATAAATTGTGAAAAATATGTACGAAAATAAATGTTTAAGTAAGTTCATTTCTTAAGCATAAGCGAGTTTTCTTTACATCTTTATTAGTTTATTCACTGAAAGTGACGAACGAAAAATAATATTTTGGCAAACGAAATGTTTTACGAAGCACCGAATGAAATGGATCATGAATAAAAAATATAATTTTATTTTTTATACATACATGGAAATAAAAAAAATATTAGTTATTGTGTAAATTATTTTATTTAATTAGTGGTACAGTAAGAACGAATGTAGTCATGTGATCTAGATACAAGGGGAAAGTTTGAGCGAAAAAATTGAGTAAGCATTTATGATAATGCATTAAAATTAATAAAAGGATTAAATAATACATATGTTAAAAAGATCCTTATGATATTCACAAATGCTTGTGCGTTTGGGTTTAACAAAATATTTATGACTTTTATTTTTGGAAATATATTTACCACATGCTATTTTATATCTAAATTTAAAAAAAAAAAAAGAAACTTTTACTAAATTTTCTAAATTTTTTTTCTCACATTATGAAGCTGCATTTAATCAAAATCACATCGCAAAAATGTATCTTAATTTGTATTTTCCCAAATCTCTTCAAGTTTATTTATACAGCAGAGTAGTTTTTTTTTTAAAGAAACCTTATTATTTAAGCATTTCATATCTCCTCGCTAGTTTGATAAAATTTTTGAGTCTTCATTTTGAATTGAAAAAAGAAATAGTTTTCTTTTTCATTTATATATGTCAATATGTTTTAACTTGGCACGTGCTAGTTATAAAATATTAAATTACTCATATTCCTAAAAATTCTTACGAATGCAATAATGGTATATGTTCATCATCTTTGTAAAATAGATTGGTTGGAAACCACACGCCTGTTGTACATACATAAATCTCGGCAATTAACCCGAATAGAACACTCTTAAACATTGAAGGGACGAGAGCAAGGGCTCCCAATTTTTTTCGACTATGGAATCCAAGTTATCAACCGTCTTTCGGCGGATCTTCAACTTTATAAATAAAGTCTGTTAACGTTATTGTGAACGTTATAACCTATAAAAGACTATTTTTACAATATTTAATTGGAATAAAGATTTTTCATTGTTTTAACATTAATCTTTAAGGTTTTATGTCCTACAGTTAAATAAGCAGTCCTTGCGCTATGTCTAGTCTAGTTTGTTTTTGGTTTATGTACATAAGCTGAAAATGTATAAAATAAGCTGAATTATGGTTTACTTCGAAGTGAAAACTTAAAAGAACTTCTATAAACGTTGAAAATGGTTATCAGGAAAATATAATTCTTTATTAAAGAATTTCGTTATTTCATTTTGATTGAAATGTGTGATAGGAAATACTAATGCAATGATTTATAAATGCTTGTTCCTTTCATAATTTGTACAACATATTTATAGTAGAAATATTATATTTTATTTTTAAAAATGCAATTTTTGTTTCATAGGCATTTCACTTGAAATAATTTCATAAAAACAACCAAAAAATTAAATAAATTATGAATTATAGGCTAGATTTAAATATAATCAGAGTTTTCATAATTCATCGCTGACCCAATGCAGTCGAATTCGCATTCATAAAAAGCACTAATTATCAGAACACGACATCAGAGAGTCCTTAATTGATTATTATAGAAATACATCCATAGTATTTATCCAGCTGCCTTTCATTCATGGTTAAAAATACTTATTTAAGATCGATAATATTTGTAAATACTCCCGCAAGGTAGCAAACTCTGCAAATTTTCACAGCATCTACAGATTAGTTTTCATTTCTGTTTTTTTTTTTTTTTTTTTTTTTTTTTTTTTTTTTTTTTTTTTTTTTTTTTTTTNTTTTTTTTTTTTTTTTTTTTTTTTTTAAGAGAAGATTTTTTTTTTGAAACTCCAATTTAAAGCATCCTAAACTTGTTTCTAAGTAAAATTATTAAGCAGAGTTTTAAGAAAAAGTAGTTTTTATGTTATTTAATCACAATGCTTTACTGTAAGGAATTTGGTCTTTAATTAAGCATCATTGTATATAAAAAAAAACTTATATTTTTAACATTTTAATATTTTAAGTACTTTTCAATTGAAAACTTTGCTACATAAATTTTAGATTAAGCTGAATTTTACAATGATTATCTCTATCTGACTGCATTGGGTCACTAACAAACTTGGATTTAAGAAGATAGTGCTGCTGATTTACTGCATAAATTTTTCTAACAGCCTTATTGCAGCAAAATTTGCTCTATCAAGTCTAATCAATTTAAATAGAAAGAGTTGTTTGCCAATGATGATGTACACAAAAGCTATTTTTTTTGCCTTATAAACATAACTTATAAATATGTTAAATTATCTTTCATTCTACTTTGGAAAAAAAATTGTAAAACCATCTTTCGAACTTTGCACAGTCATAAACTATTAATATGCAACGATTTGTAACCTAAAAACATATTGGTGCATCAAATTTAATTCAAAAACAAGAGTTATGAAATGAAAAATAGAAACCGATTATAGAGAAAAAAAATTGTGGAACATAAATTTTTTTAATGGAATTTCAAAAAAATAATTTTCTTTTAAATAATATTTATTGGCGTAGGAAATAATTAATGTTCATCATTTCAGATTGCATAACTGTTTTAATTCAAAAATTTTTTATGTTGCAAAGCAGAGCGAATGAAATTGTAGTTCAGATAGTTAATATATTTCTCTGTCCAAGTCATTTCCGATTTCATGCTAAGTTCTTAATTTTTATTTGGTCGTCGTAGATTCATTTTTATATTTATGATTAATTTTTTAGCAAAGTTACAATAATAGAATATAATTTATTTACAGAATCGATTTAAATATTAGGATTTTTTTCAAAATTAAGTCCTTGTTGTGACAGAATGTAAAAATAATATGTACGGCATTTAAAAAATTTTCTCAAATGCGATAAACAAAATTAAAAAAAAAATAATAAAATTATGTAATTAATAGTTTTTATAAAATCAGTTTCATTATGTCTTCAGTTATTCCGTCTGCAAAATACACCATTTATAATTTTTTTTTTTTTTACGTGTTATATCGCTGTAAAGTAAACACTTTTACAGAAACTAAATACTTTGGTTTGTTGCACTTCATTTTGTATAATGTTTACATTAGTGATATATTTAAGATATTTTTTTAAATAAGTAAAAATATTGCCATTTGCCACTCTGTTTTTGAATTTACTGAAAATGTATATGATAATGAATTTTCAGCTTTAATTTTCTTTCAATTCTGCAATACATTTTATGAACAATCATAAAAATTGCCAGAATACCCCCGCTATGAATTTTTTCTGCGGATGTAGTGTTGTAGATGAAAAAACACTTTTACAGAACCTCTACCATTGCTCCACATCTTTTTCTGTGGAGTTTATTTCGTCTATCAGTTTTTAAATCTAGACATAGCTCGAAATGTTTGTTTACGGAAATAAATGCGACTCGAAATATGTGCTTACGAAAATAGTAATAGCTCAAAATGCTTGTTTACGGAAATGGACAATGCTCAAAATGTGTATTTACGGAAATGGACAATACTCAAAATGCTTGGTCACGGAAACGGACGCAGCTAGAAATGCGTGTTTACGGAAATGGACAAAGCTCAAAATGCGTGTTTACGAAAATAGACATAGAAATCCGTGTTTACGAAGATGGTCACAACTTGAAATGCGTGTTTATAAAAATGAACATAGCTCAAATAGCCACTCTTCAACGCTAAACAGTCCCTCCAAATTTTGACACCAAAATAAATCCAATGTTGCAACTGGGTATTTTTTTCTGGCTATAGCTTTAGAATTGATATTGTTAGTGACCGTAAATTTTTAATGCGAGTCTTTAAATAAGAGAACTTTTAAAAAGTAAACTGATTTTAAATATAACTATTGAATAAAATCTATTAATTAATATTGTAAAATACTTGTTTAAGAAGATAGGCACAGCTCAAAATGCGTATTTAAGAAGATTGACACAGGTCAAAATCCTTGTTTAAGAAAATAGACTCAGCACAAAATGCTTGTAGGACATAGCAAGAGGCAGGGCATAGCTTAAAATGCGTGCTTAAGAAGATTGATGCAGCTCAAAATCCTTGTTTAAGAAGATAGACACAACTCAAAACGCGTTTATATGTAGATAGACACAGCTCAAAATGCGTATTTAATAAGCTAGACATAGCTTAAAATGCGTGTTTAAAAAGATTGACACAGGTCAAAATCCTTGTTTAAGAAAATAGACTCAGCACAAAATGCTTGCAGGACATAGCAAGAGGCAGGGCATAGCTTAAAATGCGTGTTTAAGAAGATTGATGCAGCTCAAAATCCTTGTTTAAGAAAATAGACACAGCACAAAATGCGTTTTTAAGAAGATTGACGCAGCTCAAAATCTTTGTTTAAGAAGAGAGACACAGCTCAAAATGCGATTTTAAGAAGATAGACACAGCTCAAAATTCGTGTTTAAGAAGCGAGACGTAACTTAAAATGTGTGTTTAAGAAGATTGACGCAGCTCAAAATCCTTGTTTAAGAAGATGGCCACAGCTGAAAATGCGTGTTAAAGGAAATGGATACAGCTCATACCAATCTCCTTAATACGTGTTTAAGAAAATAGACACAGTTCGAAGCGTGCTTAACGAGAAATTGCGTGCTTACTTTTCCTTACTTATTAAATTATTTAAGCATAATCATTTGCAGAAGAAAAGTCCTGCACTTCAAGCCGATTTCTTTGCATTCAGAACTGTAAGCGACGAGTTTTAAAACTCTAAATTCCTACAACGCATATCT